TGGCAGGGGTGTTGTTTACGAAAGTGAGAGGACGAAAAGCGAATGTCCGGCGCATCAACCGGGTTGGTGGACACGAAGGGTCCACCTAGGGGAGTTGGAAAACCCTGATTCCAAACCAGTGGTGCACATGGGCTCCAGTATCCTGATGGAACGAATGGCGAATGAACCTGTTGTTGGTCAACGGCTACTATGGGACTGCATCTCCTCACGATGCTCCACAGCCTTGTGGATTAGATCTTTCGGTCAAAGGCTCCGGGTATGGCCCCCTAAGAAAATCACCTGCTTCAGTTTGGGCACCTGAGCAGTATCACAGCCCTCAAGCAAATCGAATGGGATTTGTATGGCGCATATGTATCTGGTGCTTCCTTGTACCAATATTTATGTGTTTAAATAAATAATAAATAAAAGCTTCAATTGACTCATGATTGTAAAGTTTTATTATAAATCACTATAATTAAGATAACAGTAGTTGACTTAATCTCAAATACTTGTATTTTAAAATGTAAATAATCAACACTTGACCAGGTATTTGTTGAAATGGATTTCTAACTAATATTAGTTACCGTGATGAATCAAGGTTTTTTGGTTGATGTAACTTTTTTCTTTCTCAAAAAAAGGGTGAAATTCAATTGGCTGACACATGAGTATACTTCATAAATTTACTAATCAAACTACAAACATGGCTCAGAATTGATCACAATGGTGTAGGTGTATACACTGTTTATCTTCCCTTAAACCTTGAGATTAAAATTGCTTCATATCTGTCTTCCTTCTTATAGTATATCCTTATATAGAATCTTTCTTTTATATACTACCACCACTAAATTAACTACTTCTATGAATCTGGTGTTGATCTTGTTGTGCTAACGAGGTTTGGCAACTTAGACCGATGTTAGAAGTCCTTCTTCCTCTATAAAATACTAAAAATGTTATTTTTTGTTGTTACGATTTATCCAAGTAAGAAAATTAACAAATCTGTCTTATTTGGGATCATGAGTCGATTAATGTTAGACCATCATGGAAAATCTAGAAGCACTGAACTGCCATTTCATACTCAGCAGTATCTATCAACGATCTCGATGGTTAGAAACCTTGAATGATATGTATCAAAATCGTTTGCAATGACGAAGGTGAATCTACTCTTTGTGTTCTACCAAATTCTAATCTTCGGAATTCTTCATGTCTCTATCTTGTTCTCTTTTCAAATTTATTTAACTGAAATTAATCCTTGAATAACATCTTCAAACCCTAATCTTTCACATAATGCCTATACTCTTACCACTTCTACCACTATGGGATTTGAATCGACAACTACATTTCTGTGCTAATGTGGTATGGCAACTCAAACTGATGTATGTACGTACGTACAAAGTTCTACGTTGTGACTGACTGACTGACTGACTGACTGACTGACTGACTGACTGACTGACTGACTGACTGACTGACTGACTGACTGACTGACTGACCAATGATGTCACGCGCGAGATTCAGACGCAGAACCTTCGATCTCGTGCATGAACACTTAAGTAAGAAAATCACATATATCATGCGAAAATTCAATGTCTGATCATATAGTACGATACATTTTTTGAAAAAAAAAACATACAGTTAATAATAGGTATTTAGTAAACACAAGATACATTAAATCATCTATAATGTATTTATAAACATACTATACATTAATACAGATTAGATTACATTTGTGTGTGATATATTACTTAAATCATATGTGACAATAACAAACAACTCTCTCTCATTCATTGTTTCATTTGTGATAAACGATTTAAAAAATTATAAATATTATATACATATGTAAATGTGTGGAATTAACTTTTAGAAAGGAGATATTTCTGTTTAGCGTTCATTTTAGCAAGGTTATTTTTTTTCACAGAGGATCCAAATGAGCAGTGTTATATCCTAGTGAAGATTAAACTACGGGTGACTTCTGAGAACTATTAATGGACTAGTATATCTATAATCCCCTCATTATAAGCTTTATTTTTGACCTATACATTATTATTATTATACGATTTAATGTTCTTAAGTTATGTTCAGTTTATTGATTATAGTCTCCCCACATTCACGGTCACTTTTTGGCTCGATCTTGTATAAATGTTATCTCCTATTTTATGGTGTGATGGGGTCTGTTTAGTTGATATATAAACCAAGTATGTTTGAAATAAATGATTCGCATAGTGAGAGCTGTTATTGGCATTCTGGACTCAACTGGACGGGCTAGGCCAATAAGGATGCTAGGCTGCTCATACCGGTCGAACGTCATCGGTTTAGCACAGTACAAAGATTGAATAAGTCGTATTTCGATTGGCGAGTAAATCATATGGTAACTACCGGCCTAAGCTACTCCACAAGGGGTAACAGGAATAAGTAAGATGTTTCAGAAACCGTCTAAACCGTATTGTTTGTGTTTATGAAAGTTTTAAATAGATATGGAGTAAAAACGAACAACAAATTAGGAGGAGGAGAGGGGAATTGTTAAGTCCTGATTTGGAGTAATTATAGTGAAAAACAGTTAAATTGTACAACATACTTTGTAACAAGTTTCAAAGTTTTATGAATCCATAATAAATGAAATAAAGTAAATATGAATATATATACAAACAAGTGGAATTTAGTACTTGGCAGAATAAAGTTTTGCGTCGAAGCGGATTAACTGGAGTTGCACTAGGCTAAAGGAAAGTTAAACGAGAGAAGCCAAAATGTGGCATCAGTCCATGAAGTTACTAGCTTTCAGTATAAGGTTGTGGAGATTGTTGATCTTCATTGAAATCACGAGTTGATCTAAGCTAGATCACTATTGAAAACCTGGAAGCACCAGACGAACGTTTTGTCCTAGTGTGGGATTCCTCAGCAACAAGCATCAAAGATCCTACACGCAGGACTCGAACCCAGGGAGTTCAGGCTCGCGAGAACACATAACATCTAGGACACCGAGCCGGCATCCAACGGTAATGTCTAACTTCAACCAATCGCAGAGGAGCACTGCTGAGGAGTCCCACGCTGCAACGAAACAACCGTCCAGTGCTTTCAGGTTTTCAAGAGTGGTCTAACGTTGATCGGTTCGTGATTTTAATGAAAGTTACTAACTTGTTGAGCTAAACCATGTAGGTTTAGGTACAGATTATTTGATTAGAGTGTGTACGATTATTATAACCAACTGTTGAATACGTTTGATGGCAATTGAAAATCCGTTGAAATAGCACCGATGCATTCACTTCTTCTCTTGAAATACTCATAGTTTTTATTGACTAAACTTATTCTTTCTGTATATCTATCTGATGTCGCTCACTACTACCGATACTCCTATTACTTCCAATATTTTGCGATTTGTCCGGATAATTTTGTCTAGTAGTGCTAGTGTAGCATAGTAACTTAGGTTAATTTATAGGCTTTCACTTAACACATTGACCACTATTATACGACTGAATTTTCCTAATCTGTTGCCAGCCTATTACTTACAGTTTCTGATGTAGGTTTGTTCTCTGGGCTGGATGGTTTGGTCGTGGAGCTTTCATCGTCCTTCTGAACGCCAACATCAACACAAACTTCGGGTAGAAGTGAAGTGTTTGAATTTCTCCACATGTGATTCACAACTTGTCCCGTGCACCTTGATGTTGATTGGTTCTTATTGGCCTTACAGTTTCTCCTCCTCTAAATGCAAATTGTTGCTTCAGGACTGATCCGCGTCAACACCTGAACTAAGGATAAAGAGTGAAGTAGTCAGACACATCGACAACTTCACCTGATGAGTTAGTGTCTGACGAAATCTCTGCACAGATTCAGAAAGCTCGTTTAGCTTTTACCAACTTACGCCACCTATGGTGAAGGTGAGACATACGTCTATCAACTAAGGGACGAGTATACTGTACAGCAGTTCTCTCTGTTCTACTATATAGCTGCGAAACGTGGCCATTAAGAGTAGAAGATATTCGTCATTTACTTGTATTTGGTCACAGATGTCTTGGAAATATTCCTCGCATCCGCTGGGAAGTAACAGTGAGGTTAAACACAGGGTATTAGGGAATGATGGTAAGTCAGTTGATGAGGTCATAAATCTACTGAGATGCTTTGGCCACGTATTACGCACGTCTAACCACCGATTACGACGGCATGCAATGGTGACTAGTGTCAGAGATGGTTGGAAGAAAGTTAGGGGTGACCAAAGCAAAACGTAGCATCAATCCATAAAGTCACTAACTTCTGGTTTGAGTAATATTGAAAGGCCCAGACTACTTTTTTAAGGTCCGCGTGACTATCGTAGCCAATGGTTAAAGACTCTGGGTGACATTGTTCAGAATCGATCACAATAAGTGTATACACTTTTTGTCTTTCCTTAAACCGTGGAATTAAGATTCTTTTATACCTTTCTTTCGACAAACTAATTCTTTCTCCCTGTATCACATCCTTATATATATATATATATAATGTAAATTTGGTGTTCATCTTGTTGTGTTAATGAGGTGTGTCAACTTAGACCGATGCATATATGTGCCTGGCTCTACATTGTAGATGGCCGACTGACTGTTACTTACACTTTACCCTATTCATAGAGACTTTTGGCTTGTTTATGTACAAATGTGATCTCCCATTTGATAGTGCGAGATGATTTGGTATGTCTGTATATAAACCCATACGTACTTGAAATGTAACATTATAGAGACTGGTGGATGAATTCTCTTTTAGACTTAAGGTAGGAAATAGAGAAAGACTTGAGAATAATGAGCCAATAGGAAATCAGTTCACGTCGACTTAAGGTTAACCGTGAAGGTCAAGAGTGTAATTAGTCAATTCCAGAACGCTGAGCTATAAACGGAACAATTGACACAAAATAGAAAAAATTTGTAGTCAGAATTCTGATTGGTGATTTTTAAGACGTGATATCGATTAGCGATCTCAAGTGGTAACACATGCTGTATCAGATTTAATGCTTATTTATTGAAATGAATAAAATAAAGGATAGATATATGTAAAGCAAAACTTACTTGGACCTGAATGAATTGTATTCGCACGAGCTTGTTGTTCTTTTTCTCGACGATCTAATTCGGCTGCACGAGCTTCAAGTTCAGCTTGTCTACGTTCCAAAGCTAAGACGCTTTCATTACCACCACCAGCTGTAGCTTTTGCATATGGTGAATACATTTCTGTAGGTGGTATTGGTGGTGGGGGAATATCAAAAACATAATTTTTATTTCGATTATCTGAAGATGATTCGTTATTTTCAGGTGCTAAAGATTCATATTCTTTGAAAAAAGCGAAAAAAAAGGAAAGGAAACAGGACTATTAGGACTAACAGAAAACTGGTCGATAGATAAAGTTACAAATTTCGTTGGATGCTTAATATTAATTAATATTTCATAGATAAAGCGAAAGTGCCTTGTTTCAATAACAAAAAATTATTGGGGGTGTTTGATTAACTACCTCACCATCCTGATGGGAGATCTAAACGCTAAAGTCGGAGTGGAAAACACAGGATATGAAGATATAATGGGACGACATGGACTGGGAAAGAGAAATGAAAATGGGGAGAGATTTGCGAATCTAAATACATTCAACAAATCGGTTATAGGCGGCACAATACTTCAACACAAATGCATACACAAAGCTGAATGGATCTCACCGAACCAAACCACAGAGAACCAGATGGATCATATTTGTATCAACAAAAATTCCGAAGGACAATGGAAGATGTGAGAACCAAGAGAGGAGCTGATATAGCTTCAAATCACCACCTGGATGTGGCCAAGATGAAAATGAAGCTAAAGAAACACTGGACAGCTAAGGAAACATTAATACCAGGTAAATAAATAATATATTTGTAATATCCCAATGAGTAGAAAAATTATTTTATTTATAACAATCCACCCAATGCTCAATTTATTCAAAGTTATCAAATCAAAACTTGGTAATGATACCTATTAATACAAAGGTTAAATACAGCCTTCCTTCGAGACACTCACAAACTCAACGAATTCAAGATAACTCTCAACAACCGGTTCCAAGCTCTACAGGATCAAGTGAAAGAACAAGAAACTACGATGGAGGACAACTGGAAAGGGATCAAAGAAGTAATAACTTCAACGTCTTAAGAGATTCTGGGTCGCAAGAAGCATCATTATAAGGAACGGATCTCTATGGGAACCCTGGACAAAGATCAAGAAAGGAAAAACAAGGAGACAGCAATTAACAACAGTCGAACACGAGCAGAGAAAGTCAAGGTGCAGGCAGAGTACGCAGAAGCAAACAGGCAAGTGAAGGAGAGAATTAAAGCCGACAAGCAGAAATACATGGGAGAACTAGCAACGACGGCAGGAAAAGCTGCAAGAGAAGAGAATATGAAACAATTATATGATACAACGAAGAAATTGGAAGGAAGATATAGCAAACCAGAGAGACCAATCAAGGACAAAGAAGGAAAGACAATCACAGAGATTCAAGAACAAAGGAAAAGATAGGTAGAATACTTCGAGGAACTGCTGAATAGATCAGCTCCATTTAATCTACCGGACATCGAAGCAGCACACACTGACCTTCCTATAGATATCACTCCACCAACGATCGAAGAAGTCAAGATGGCCATCAGACAAATCAAAAGTGGGAAGGCGGCAGGATCTGACAATATACCAGCTGAAGCACTGAAGTCAGACATTGAAGTAATTGCAAAAATGCTTCACCTTCTATTCAAAAAGATTTGGGAAGAGGAACAAGTGCCAACGGACTAGAAAGAAGGATATCTCAACGAGATACCAAAGAAAGGAAATCTGAGCAAATGTGAGAAATACGGAGGAATTACACTGTTGTCAGTACCAGAAAAAGTTTTCAACAGTGTTGCTGAACCGGATGAAAGACGCGGTAGACGCACAACTTCGAGATCAACAGGCTGGATTCCGTAAGGATAGGTCGTGCACAGACCAGATTGCTACACTACGTGTCATCGTTGAACAATCAATTGAGTGGAACTCATCACTATACATCAACTTCATTAACTACGAGAAGGCGTTTGACAGTGTGGACAGGAGGACATTATGGAAACTTCTTCGACACTATGGAGTTCCTGAAAAGATTGTCAACATTATCCAAAACTCATACGATGGACTGCAGTGCAAAGTGATGCATGGAGGACAGCTGACAGATGCATTTCCAGTAAGGACCGGAGTCAGACAAGGCTGTCTACTCTCCCCATTCCTCTTCCTTCTAGTGATTGACTGGATTATGAATACTTCGACATCTGAGGGTAAGCACGGAATAAGATAGACATCTTAGAATCAATTAGACGATTTGGACTTCGCAGATGACCTAGCCATTCTATCTCACACACACGAACAAATACAGATGAAGACAACTAATGTAGCAGCAGCCACTGCACATATAGGCCTCAACAAATACAAAGGAAAAAGCAAGATTCTCAAATACAACATGGAGAACACCAACCCAGCCACACTTGATGACGAAATTTTGGAAGATGTAGAATCATTCACGTACCTGGGAAGCATCATTGATCTGATGCAAATGTAAAGGCAAGGATTGGCAAAGCAAGGACCGCATTCCTACAATTGAAGAACATATGGAACTCAAAACAACTATCAACTAACTTGAAAGTGAGAATCTTCAATACGAACGTCAACACTATCCTACTGTATGGAGCTGAAACGTGGAGAACTACTATATCCTTCGTCAAGAAGGTACAAGCATTTATAAACAGTTGTCTACGCAAAATACTCAACATTCACTGGCCGGATACTATCAGCAACAGCGTTTTATGGGAGGGGACAAACCAGTTTCCAGTTGAAGAGGAAATTAAGAAAAGAAGTTGAAAGTGCATAGGACATACATTGAGGAAATTACCACACTGCATCACGAGGCAATCCCTTGCTTGGAATCCATTAAGGGAAGCGGAAAAGAGGAAGGCCAAAGAACACACTGAGTCGAGAAATGGAAGCAGACATGAAAAGGATGAATGTTAACTGGAAAGAACTGGAAAGGGTTGGATGGAGAGTGCTTGTGTGCGACCTATGCTCCTCCACGAGGGGTGACAGGCATAAGTAATTAAGTTTAATTATTTATTTAAACACATAAATATTGGTACAAAGGGGCACCAGATATATATGCGCCACACAAATCTCATTTGATTTGTGTGAGGGTTGTGATACTGCCCATGTACCCAAACTGAAGAAGGTGGCTTTCTTAGAGGGCCACACCCCGAGCCTTTGACCTGAAGGTCTAGTTCACAAGGCAATGGAGCATGGTAAGGAGATGCAATCCCATGGCAGCCGGTGACCAATAATTGTTTCATACGCCATTTGTTCCTTCAGGATACTGGAGCCCATGTGTACCATTGGTTTGGAATCAGGGTTTCCCAACTCCACTAGGTGGACTTTCCGTGTCCACCAACCCGGTTAAAGCGCCGGACATTAGCTTCTCGTCCTCTCAATTTTGTAAGCAACACCCTCGCCACGAGAAGGCTACTATTTATTGAACTAAACGGTGGTCATTAAAAATTTTCACTGAACTAAAAATTCAAGTTCATATATTGGGTTAACACTAGTGTGCAAGTGAAAGTCAAGTAAAGCTAGTAAATAAATTACTTAATAAAATAAGAACCAAGTTATAATGAAGTTACATTTAGTTACTATATAAATATACAGGTGTTATGACCTCTATTATTACAACACAGCTAATCTTATTGCTTAGTATTTTTTGGACACTATTTCAATTGACAAGTCCCAAAATCAGAACACAGTTGAACAGGAACGTAATTATATTCCAAATAAACAAAGGTTGAATGGAAGTAGGAATCCAAACAAGAAGAACGTTAGTGTATTCATAATTTTACACAAGATACTAAATTCTTCTGCAAGTATCTGTTGGCGCTGACTGGCTAAAAAGTGCCCAATCGATGTGAACCAACACAATCCTTTACGGAACATACTTTAATCCAATCCTTATCCCACTAACGTCATAACTCGTCTAAATGAACAGGACAACACTATGGAGGCTTCGTCAACACTACGGAGTGCCTGAGAAGATAGCCAATATAATACAGAGTTCCTATGATGGATTGAACTGCAAAATCGTGCATGGAGGACAGCTCACTGACTCGTTCAAAGTAAAGACCGGTGTCAGGCAATGTTGCTTACTCTCACCCTTTCTCTTTCTCCTGGTGATCGACTGGATTATAAAGACATCAACATCTGGGGGGAAGCACGGGATACAGTAGACAGCTAGAATGCAGCTGGACGACCTAAACTTCGTAAATGATCTGGCTCTTCTATCACACACGCAACAACAAATGCAGGAGAAAACAGCCAGTATAGCAGCAGACTCAGTACCAGTAAGTCTCATCACACACAAAGGGAAAAGCAAGATTCTCCGATACAACACAACATCTACCAACTAAATCATACTTGACGGAAAAGCTTTCGAGGATATAAAAACCTTTACATATCTGGGCAACATCATTGGTGAACACGGTAGATCTGATGCCATTGTGAAGTCGCGAATCGGCAAAGCGAGAGCAGCATATTCACAACTGAAGAACATTTGCAACTCAAAACAACTTTCAATCAACACCAATGTCAGAATTTTCAATGCAAACGTCAAGACAGTTCTCCTGTATGGGGTGGAAACTCGGAGAACTACGAAAGTCACCATCCAGAAAATACAAGTGTTTATTAACAGTTGTATACACAGGATACTTCAGATATGTTGGCCAGACACTATCTGCAACAACCTACTGTGGGAGAGAACAAACCAGATTCCAGCGGAGAAAGAAATCAGGAAGAAGCGTTGGGAGTGAATAGGACACACATTGAGGAAGTCACCCAATTATGTCACAAGGCAATCCCTGACATGGAACCCTGAAGGCCAAAGGAGAAGAGGAAGACCGAAGAACACATTATGACGATAAATGGAAACAGACATAAGAATGAGCAACAACTGGATAGAACTAGAAAGGAAGGCCCAGAACAGTTTGACTGGGTTGGAGAATGCTGGTCGGCGGCCTATGTTCCATTGGGGGTGACAGGCGTAAGTAAGTTATCCCGCTAACAACAGTTTATTTCCCCACGTAATAAGGATTTTCATCTGGTCTAATCAATTAAGTTAGATAAATCTCTTATAAGTTAGATTCGTAAATCACTTGTCAAGTACAACTTTGTCCAGTCAACTTAAAGCCATACGTCCTTTTTATTTCGGGGCTAGAAATAATAATCAGATGCTGGAATAACCTTCGAATTAATGACCTATTGACTGAAAGCTAGATGCTCTGACTACTGGGTCACAGCATCATAAGATGAACTGGAAAGCATAAATGATAATATAAGGAGTAAAACATGATCAAACTGAAGACAAGCATTACAGACAGTAACTTGTGTCTCAAGTACAATTTAAACCAAATATTTACAGAACAAATATGCTACATAGATTGAATATAATAGAGGCTACTGGTTCTACGGTCCATAGCTATAACTACTAACACAAAATATTAGTTTGCTGGTGTTATTTTTAATGAAAAGTATTCATTAATTTCACGATCCTACACATTTATCTGAGGTTTTTTTAAATGCACTTAAACCAAATTTATTACCACCACCTCGATCATACAACATAATTCTATTAGAAATCCGATAGAATTGATAACGAATATAATACTGATTTTCGTTGAGTAATAGATGTATGAAGTATTATTATCATATCAAACTTCATGCGCTCAGAAAAAAATACTAGGAAATATGATAAACTCGATTGAATTAGTTCTCAGCATAACCAGTCCTAGAATGTTAATTTTCAGTGAATTTCTAACCTTAATCAAATTAATCAGCGTTAATAGTAACATCGGAAAGCCTAATAACAACAAACTGAACTTGTAAGAGTTATGTATTGAAATAAACTTAACAACAGAAAAATCTACCACCATAATCTCATCACACTCACTTGGGACAGGATCAGAAAAAGGATTGTAACCCTCCAATGACTCTTGATTGACTTTACTCTGCAAGAATAAACAATAACAGTAAGGACCCATAGAAACATAAAAAAAACAGATGTCACTATGCAATGACCTGCTAAGTGAACTATTTATGTAAACGTTTTCGTTATAAACCTGTTACCTAACCCACTTCAGCTGAATGTAAAACGAAGGTGAGATATATTGGCACGGACATATATCTATCTCACATCAGCACGGCAAGGGGGACGAATAAAAAGATAGTAAGGGTGCAGGACGAATTAATGAGAAAACTGAAAATTGTTACATCTACAAATATAATAAAACGATAAGTAAAAACTCTTAAAGTAGTAACGAAATCTATGGGTACAAGGGGTAAAAATCAAATAGGACATGACAAAGGTATGGAATCTCAACATGTTGTTTTCCACACTGATATAGTTTAAAATCGATAGATAGAAGGCAGCAGTGAAAATAGTACTATATATGATGGAAAAGTTATTTATTTGAACACAAACATTGTTACAAGGAGGCACCAAATAGATATGCGCCACATATTATTCGGTGCTGCCCGGGTGCCAGAACCGAAGGTAAGAGTTGGGTAAAACATAAAAACGAAGGTTATTAGATAATACAACGTTTAACATTCAGTAAAAGATAATGGATGAATATATACGTGCTGTTAGGATAGGTTTGCGGCGAGCCACCTAACGTTTTTAACTAAAGATTATGTTAATCTTGCGGATAAGTGGGTAGTTTGGTCCTTCCAACCTGACTGAATCCAACTATTGGGAGCTTTGTAAACTTTCGTTGCTTTTGTTTAGTGATCTCTAATCTTTTCAAAACTACTTTTATGCTAGCCGAATGCATATCAGTGTATTTAAATCGATGTAACCTTGAAAAAGTGAGATTTTGTATGATACATGACAAACCCATTGATATAAACAGTACTGGAGGAAAGCTAGACAATGAAACAGAAACAAACATACTAAACTTAGTGGTAATCAGCAAGGCCTTAGGTATGTCGAACTGAGGTTTTGATGCACAAAACGGATGACATGCAACACAAACCAATGTTATGAGATATTGATTAAAATTTATTCCCCATTTACCTCCAAGTGGTTTGAGACATATTAAGTACGTTACAAACACCTGATTATGATTAAATAGAATTTTAAAATCCTTATTAATGTGATTTAATATTCGTATATAATTCACTCTGAACAGCAAAGAACTAGTGTTTTTGTACTGCCACCGACTTCCAGTTACATACAAGATATAGAATCTAAAATATTATTACGATTCATTTGTTGAGAACCGACCGAATCAAAATTCCTATAGACAATACAAAATAGGTGGATCGAGGTCACAACCAGTCATGGCAGTTGAAAAAAATACGCTGAAGAGCACTCATATACTCGGAACAGCCATCACAAGGCTCTTTGAACTCTTGGACTAACTTTTTATACCACTGTTTTGAAAATTATCATCAATATTACATATTTAAGAAAAGTAAATAATGAACTAGTTAACACGACATTTTAAATATGAGATCATACTAGGCGCTTAGATTGTGAAGGCAGTGGGATTTAAGTGCTACATGAGATAAGACCATATACCTTATGTATAGCTTTAACGGTTCAATCAAAACAAGGTGTGTGATTACTCACTTGGGTCCCCCCCCGCTGCTAGGTTGAGGAATATGTGTTAATGACCGTTGTTTCGTGACTAATATATATATTAAATACTTAGATCATTTAGAGACACTTTTATACTGCAAAATATTAGAGGACTTTTGAAAAAACTGAAAGAACTAACCATTTGAAAACACTAACGAATAGCCCGCGACTAAAGGAACACCTGTAGGACAGATTATTTATAACTTGCGCTGGTGAAATTCAAACCCCAAACTTTGTGAGGTAGTTTTTCTCTCGCGGTTTACTACCTGATAGCAGAAAGTTCCCGAAGAATGTATTTTTTGCCATAATTCCTTTGAATACACTGGACAAAAACAATATTTAACAATAGGAGCAGTGATAGTGGAGTTACATATTTAGTAATCTATTTTATTACCTTCGAGACTGCATTAAACTTCTAGGCTTCTTTTGTCATAGTCATCGCGAAATTTCATCACACCACACTCTGAGTGTAGAAATTTTCATTATTGAGATTTACGAAAGCTCAGTTTTATACTATGGAGGTAGTTAACACGAAATTGCAGAGATAAATAAACCTTAAAAATAAATATATCTGTGAGCCTTTGAAAATGATGCCGATCTCATTAGTTTTGCCGGAGACACCTAGCCTGGGGCTTTCCGTCATACATCCTCAACAGATCACTTGTGGGTACGCCTTGCTACGCATCTCTTGAAACCGTCAGCTAGTTTGGAATAAACGCTTCTCTATACATTGATAGTCTTTCCAAACCTTTGAAAAATAAATGAAATACCACCAGCAGAACAATATAAAGAATATAAAAATCAAAAGTTACACATTATGATCACGCATGAAAGACTGAGGCAAACATATATAAGTTCACGTACATATTTATGCATAACCTGTGGGGAGTAGTGTAACGTCGTGTACTATATTACACCTACATAGCTTATTCTAGTTTCTGGACAAGCCAATTCACCTATAACGTTATGAGTCATATTTTGATCATATTAATTATTCCCTTATTGACCTTGACTATTTTTTTATATGAGCGTATGTGTATGCACACTTCTTATCCTACCTATCACATGTCTGTCATTCATTTTAGCCTGACTATAAATGTTGATTAATGCTTGCTTATAACGAGTTGGCTTCCCAGCCAATCTCCATTGCGCATGGTCTTTCGCTTCGTTCGCTTTTATTCGCTTCATCACTCTGATTCTCTGGCCAGATCAATGACTGTAGAAAATATATGTATTCTAAATCTATTCTCGTATTTGACGTATTTAACTCCGCTGTTCACCAACGCGGATAAAGTCATTTATTACATACGAGTATAGACAGAATCAGATTTACGCTACAACAAAATTGGAGGCCTCGCCGAACGAGCACGACGCTACAGAATTGGATGTCTCGCCGAACGAACCCGGACCAGAATCGACAACCTCTACGTACGAACTCACAACATAATTGGCTACCGCAACGAGCGAACGCATATCAAAAATGGAACGACCGACGACATATTCCGTTATGATTCGAATAATCATCATATGCTCATTATTACAATAATGTCATATCATCATCTAACGTGGAATTATTATTTTTGTTCTTATTGACATTAAACTATGACATGTACGCAGTCATATCACTAATCGAACAAATTATAATTATATGGACATTACACGTTATGATATTCGAAACTCACTGGATTATTTTCATTATTCAATGACGTAAAATTTTGCTGATTTAGGTGAGTTCGTTCCAAGTTTTTCTTTTTCATGTCATTTTCGGTCTAATATTACACTCTATCATAGACATAAGTTTGGAGTCATACTCCCGATAGTAGGAACTTATGTTCTCGATAGACAACTGATGTTCATTCATCTCATCGGTACTCAGCAATCGTCGTTTTCTACTTTTTACGCGACAACCTTAACTGAGCTTCAGCAATTTTGGTTTCACGATGATCCCTACTTTAATGTCTATACATAAACCAAGCATTTGACGCCGCATTACCAGCCGATTAGTAATGATTATATTCATATTATTTATTCATTCACATGTATATCTGAATGCTGCACCATCCATCACCGATAATCACAATTCGATTACTGCAATTAATATTTTATTTCCATTGTACTGTACACCAGAACATAGAGTTTAGAGCTAGTCTCTCAAAGATACACTCTTGTTCGTCACATTCAAGTCAGTCTCACTCGCTGTCATCGACAATCATATGTATTGGTATTTTTATCATGCCTTAAAACGGTTTCGTAACAAATGAGGTTGAGCGCATATCCCTCTAACTACACAAACCACGCTAGGCTTCTAGACCAAAAAGGAATACGACTCCGCATATCTCGTCTAAGCAGTCACTATCCTGTTCCTCTGGTCATTCTACTAATACATATTTAACGATAACTCAACGCAAGCGTTAGCGCACGCTGATTTCGCATTTTATTATCATAATCAATTGCAGTACAGCAATCAATACCACCTGTTGATGCAGTCATCTTCCTACGGCTGGATTACTTCTTATCCCACGTAAACTTCAGTTATGTAAATTCGAATACACTCATCGCTAAGCGACTCTATTTACTCTACTGCGACTTATCAGAAAATCATATTTCACTGTTCTTCATTCTCATATTCAATTGGCACTACAGACCAATTTTAATTATATTCTACATTACTTATTTCCACGATTTATTCCGCTGTCATACCCATAAACAATTTGTTGCTCTATTTTCACGATATTTCGAATTGCTCATACAAACATGTTATTTTATCATCCGGACAGTGACGACATAAATGCATGTTAAATTTTTTGTACGCTTACTAATTTACTCATAATCACATGCTAACATTTCCATTTCTGTCCTCATTTTGACAATTTTCATGTACATTTTCACATAAGTGTGACATTTTCGTTTAATAAACTCGCCCCTCCATTGACACTGTAACTTATTCGATATAGTACAATTTTTTCTCTCTACATATTATTAACGTTATCCATATGCCATTTCAGTGTTATTTTCAAATTAATGTGCTAATACTTTAATTTTGGTTTGTGAACGCATATACACCTCCTCCCCCTTGTTTATTTTGCATAACAGTGTTTCCTCCGGACACTCTGGGGGGAGCTATGTGGGGAGTAGTGTAACGTCGTGTACTATATTACACCTACATAGCTTATTCTAGTTTCTGGACAAGCCAATTCACCTATAACGTTATGAGTCATATTTTGATCATATTAATTATTCCCTTATTGACCTTGACTATTTTTTTATATGAGCGTATGTGTATGCACACTTCTTATCCTACCTATCACATGTCTGTCATTCATTTTAGCCTGACTATAAATGTTGATTAATGCTTGCTTATAACGAGTTGGCTTCCCAGCCATCTCCACTCTGCGTCATCTCTCCTTCGCTTGCTTACGTTTGCTAATGTGCTCACTGCCTTCTAGCCCATGTTAGTTGTCAATAAAAATGTAGTTGCTGCTTCCCTTTGTCTTCTGATATTATACACCGTTCAGATTGTTATAATAACGGTTATCAAGCCGATCGATTAACGAAGCACTACACTACAAACCTAAAGTATATGGCCATATGAATAAATAGTGAACGTTGTAGTTCAGGTTGTCTAATATAAATCTTGCTCAATACTATAATGTAGAGATTTAGTTCGAGAACATCTTGCACTGTATCTAAAATGTACAAGACTCATCTGCAGACCACAAAACTCACTTTTTTCACCTACTATCCACGATCGTAGGTTCTGTGTATCATAGCACTACATGTAAAATGGAAAACACAGATATTCATGAATAGTCATAAAATTCAGAGGCATTTAACATTATCCATCAAAATGTCGGATTCATCTATTAAAGTAATGACATGATGAATGACACTGTCTTCCTATTGCAACAAAGATGCCTGTGTGATTTTATGTCAGCCGGGATCAATGTAAAGGGCAAGTTGTAAACGGGCAACTGAAAAGAAACGCGATTGAAACAGTCGTGCACTAATGAAGACGAACATTTACAAAGTTATCCATCATAAGGACGACCACCAAAAGAGCGACCATGAAAAATGTGCATGTGAGTCAAGGCTAGCAAAGAAAGAGGGAATAACATTTTTAGTGGTGTGAAGTTTGATCGATATACTGACAATATTTTCGGCTCTATGGCTGATCAGAAAAATATTCTCGAACGTCTGACAAAGAACTAAATTTTAAAAGATGGGTTAATTTTTCGAATCTGGAAAAAGTTCATCATTCCTATAACCATGTCATATTGTCAGCTACGTGGGCTTCGAATAGCATGAGTGAAAACTTTTTAGTAGGATTTTGTGTACCCTAGATTTCCAACGGAATTCAGGTTTGTCAGACAACTTGAGGTGATCAAAAATGTTAAAATAATCGACTGAATCACGATGAAGCAATTGTGGAGAAACTGTGATGGTTGGGCCCATAATTATTCTGTTGCATATTAAGAAAACGGATTGCATCCATGGTCATGTATTTACACATCACTGAAATGCGATTCAAATATATAGAGCAACAAGATAGTCGAGGTTTCAGTAGCCACTGGCTTCATCTTTGGTGTTGCAGAACTGAGTATACCTAACTGACTAAGGACTGTTGTAATGAATATTATTGATTTCACCGTTTTTGATGCATTTGTTCTACCCAACTTTTGAACCTATTTGCTTATAACTTTGACCTCGGACATTCTAGTTTCACTCTATCTTTGCTTTGGTATTTTAGAAGTTTTCTTCCAGAAACCTAAAAATTCAAGGTCCGATTATTAAAACGATATATTTGAGTCGATAACTTATAATTTACGGGTAAGCTTTGGTACTGGAATCGGAATTTGGTTCTACTGTTGTTTGAATTGGTGGGTTACAATTGGATCAATCAACCATGCTTAAATAACTGACGAGAGCAAAATCTAAACTTAACATCTAGGAAAGAGAATGTATATGACAATAAGCACGCCCGAAAATTGATATAACGAGTGATTTGAAACATATTTTCTCCTCCACGTATATTACAGTGACACGCTAGTACAATAATGAGACTAGTCACGTTAGATCAGAACAAGTATTCATGCCTCAAAATAAAGAACCCGAATAACAATAGGCAATACTTTATCCAATACC